CACTAATGTAGCTGAATGAAACTAATGAAACTGATCGCGAGCAGCAAGCGCAGAGGGAGGGAGTGAATGGTTTAGAACAGTTTTTGAGATCACACACGCACACACACACCACATACGAAACACTAGTAACAGCAGATTCGTGGATCAAACCTACGGATGAGATGATGTCGGGGGAGTGAAAGATTAACTCATCCGACGTTCAACTCAACCGTTTGGAACTAGCTCTATAAAGACGAAGAAGAGGTGCTGGGACTCGATAAAAAGATCAACGTAAACAGACGATCAACTCAGGCGAGTTCAACACAAGCGGAGTCGACTGCAGTACATGTATTATTAGTACTTGACATCATTTAACCTTGTGAGAAGGCGAGGAAGGGGCGTGGTGACACACACAGCAAGTTACCTCTTTACTTTCAAACTTTGCCGTGACCCACAGAGCTTCTCTCTCTCTCTTCATCAAGAACCTTCCCTTTTTATTTTTCCCTGTGGTTGACTGTTGGATAAATACTATTGATCATTGAAATGCAATATAATGCTACAAACCTCTACTCATATACATAGTGTGCACGGCCCCACCCAGCCCCTGGGTTGGCGAATGTTTGAGATATATTATGGATGTAAAACATGCAGTCACCAGGAATAAGACATGTAAATACATGTATTTCACTGGGGAAAGGGTTAAATCAATGGTCCAGCCTCTTAAGTAACGTGGCAGTCTTGAAAGATGCGTTTAAACACTGTCATTTATACTATCTTTAACAAAACATGTTAAGAGCAATACGTTTAGAGTGGCTTCATTGGACAGCATTATTTTCAGTACCATATCTCTAATAATAATAATTATATATTGCATTTATATACATGTATAGCACTCTATCCTCCCATTTGAATATGCCTTCTGAGTGCTTTACATCAATCGCAGGATCACTGAGCGTAATACTTTATTATGTTCAGCAGCAAGAATTACCACATCAGGCGTGTCACATTTTTCAAACCCAGTAACTTGTAAGGGATATTCAATGGTAAAACAACAACTTTCCCAACACAGAACAAAAAGTACATGTACATTGTACATCAAGTGGGACTGGTTTTGATGCAGTGTATGTGATAAGTCTTTCAAATTCCCAACTGTCGTATCTGGGACAGTCTTTGAAAAAATCGGGACAATTGACATGCCTGCGATATACCCAAACAAAAATTTGGGGGGGGGGGGGGGGGG